CGTAAAAGATCCTAAAAATAAAAAAGTAAGAAGAGAGAGACCATGTAAAAAAGACATAAATTTTTTAAAACTACCCATAAAACAGTCAAATGTGTAAAATCAGTAAAAAGCCTGTTTGAATAAATGAGTTTTCAAGTGCGATTTGAATGTAATGATGGAAGGTGATTTTCGAATAAGATAAGGTAATTTATTCCAAATTAACGGTGCATAAAATGAAAAGGTCCATAGGATGCTAGTCTGGCTCGAGGTTGTACTAACAGTAAATCGTCACTAGAGGATCTTCTGTTTCTCACCGAAGTGCGGATTTGTATCAATTCTGATAAGTAGTCAATATATTTAAATATATTAAGTACTACCGTGACTCAGTCAATAAAATAAAATATAGTAAGTAATACCTTGAGTTTTGTCGAGAATCCCAGTGGTGCAAGATTCTAGTTCCAGGCCAATTTTATACGTTCCCAACTTGATTACGTGATGGTTAAATTAATACATTTTATCTTCCGTTTCTGGAATCTAAAATGACGAGCCAATCAGCTGCCCCCTTCTAAAATAACGAACCAATCAACCGTCTTCTTCTAGATCACACCATGTCGCTATTTATATATTTGGGAAGTTAAAATATCAAATTGTTCCTGGTTGGTGGTTAAACATTTCAGTGTAGAACTTAAAGATACATTATTCAAGAGCTAGATCAGCCTATTAAAGGTCTTTACTGCATTTATTAACTTGCCAAAACCATAATCAACCCTCGATATCATCGGATGCTCGAGATGTTGAAAGAATTTAAACACGGTTGTCGGTTAATGATTTAATGAATAATCGAGCCTCTGCTTACTATAATGTAACAAAGGTAGCAATGTCAATCGAAACTCCTTTTTTCTCCAAATATTCCTAACATCACTCCGAATGAAGTAGATTGACAGACATGTTCAACATATGGTCATTTTATTATCTATTTTTTTTTAACTTTGATAGCGGGGGGGGGGGGGGGCGGTGGCTAAGTGGGTAAGGCGCTGGCTCATTAGCCTGGAGGTCGGGTGTTCGATCTCTGCATTTGCCGAGGAAGTTCATCTAGATTTACCGGCGTGGTTCCCACTTGTCAGTGATGCAGGACAGCTGTCTAGTCCTTCAGATGAGACGAAAAACCGAGGTCCCGTGTTTACATTGGAATGCACGTAAAAGATCCCTTGGCAGTTGGAATTCGATATAAGAGTAGGCGATAGTGCCGCTGCCCAGGCTAAATTTCCCTCGTAGCACACTGTATGGCGTATGCCTGTCTTCATTAGCCCAGCATAGGAGCAGAACAGTAGGACGTTAAACCCCATTTCATTGTATTTGAGTCAACTGGCGTGGTTTCGAATCCCCAGCTTTATGTGACAAGAAGTAGGCTCGCCTGTCCAACCTCGTGGGTTTTCTCCGGGCCCCCCGGTTTCCTCCCACTGCTAAAGACCCCTACGCGCAAGCGAATTATTGAAATAAAATTAAAAAAACATGTTAGTCCCGAAATGACCTAGTTTGTGTCGAGTGGACGTTAAACCCCATTTCTCTCTCTCACGGTACCTCCGTTTTTCGTCCCATCCGAATTACTAGACACTGCTGAAAAAGGGGCAACTGCCTGAAAACCCTCGGCCAACACGAGAACTCCTGGTTAGCGAGCCAGCATCTTACTCACGGAACCATTTTTTTTTTCTAGGACCAGTCAAAGGACTGTGACGTCATCTTGGTAACTAAGGATGTTAGCTCCGATAAATAGTTGAAGCTCTACTTTTAATAAACGAGTTTCCCAAACTGGCAAAGGGTCAGGATAACGAAAGATATTTCATTCAAAAGAAGTTGGGCCTTTAAGCAAATGTCACCATGTCCATAAGGCTAAAAACACATTCAAATACGTTGGCCGAGAAAGTTCATCGGGCGTGGTCCCCCCCTTGTCAGTGGTGCAGGATGGAGGGCCTGGCAAGGGATGACGTATAGTCGTTCGGATGGAACGAAAATCGAGGTCTTGTGTACACATCTGGTTACACGTACAGAAACCCTTCTTCATTAGCACAGTCGTACCAGAACAGTAGGACGTTAAACCCAATTTCATTTTGATTTCACATGTTCAATTTGCATTATTATAAACAAACGTGGATCGTGACTCCCAATTATGATTAATACATTTTCTGAACTGACAATTCTTAAATTAATTTTATGGCCATAGACGCTTCATTTTAAGACTCTTTACCTCTCTTATAATGCTATCTGGCTGAAAAAAGTATGTGTGTGGGGGGGGGGGGGGTGAGAGAGAGAGAGAGAATTCACTCGACACAAACTAGGCCATTTCGGGACTAACATATGGCTCAATTTTATTTCAATAATTCGCATGCGCGTAGGGGTCTTTAGCAGTGAGAGGAAACCGGAGAAAATTCACGAGGTTGGGGACAGGTGATCCTACTTCTTGTCACGTACAACCGGGGAATCGAAACCACGCCAGTTGACTCAATGACAGACAAAGATACAACGCGGACGCGCTAACCATTCTGCCATCCAACCCCCCAGTAGATTTCGTACATGATTACATATAAGACTGGATAATCTAGCCAATGAAGTTGGTATTCTAAAATCTTGACAACCCATCCAGACTCATATTGTACAAGTGATCTTCCTGTTTTGTGTCTCGAATATTTCGTGGTTGAACAAATGGAAACAAGAATCGTGTTGGTTGTTGATATTTCTATATTCTACAAGTAATTACAGTTCGCAATTAATGTTAATAATCTTGGTTTAAAAAAAATGCTTAATAGCAGATAAACTCCAATATGGATACGGGAATTGACTTAAGAGGGGGGGGGTGCTATCCGAAATCTTTTATTCTGAAATGTTAAAGCTATTGAATTGAAAATAGTACAAGTAGTTAGGAAATGTAATAAACAAATGAAAACTAGAGTTTATCTAGCATATATTTGGCACTAATAAAGAGAAATGTCTCATTTTCGGACTGCTTATTCTTTAATGATGACCCAAAAACCAGACAGTTATTCTCTATAATTTTTTTATAGTTTCTTGGAATATGGTGTTTAAATATTTGCCTCATCACAATATTTTGTCTTAGAGAAATATTTTGATAACTTTTGAAATATTAAAGATAATTCAAATTGTTTTCTGTCTGATTCTGTGGTAGATATTAGTTTATATATCCAGCAAATTTGGGGGATATAGTTTTATTAGTTACAAAGATATAATGTACAGGGTGACACAAAAAAAACGTTCATCAATAAAAATCGAATAACTTCTAAAATGTTATTTAGATTAACACAAAAATTCAGCTACATTAGGTTGAGTCTATGTAGCAGACATCTTTTAAAGTTTCAAGTCTGTACCACAAAAACTCTTTGTTTAACTGGCGCTCACAAAATGTGCTCTAAATGAGTTCCCCGGTGCTGCAAGCACATTTGGATCCGGCGGGCAAAGTTCTCGATGACCCTCCCACATTCTTCCCTTGGGATCGCTTTTATTGCTGCTGTGATTGCTGCCTTCAGATCAGGGATAGTCTGGGGGTTGTTGCCATACACCCTGTCCTTAAGGTATCCCCACAGATAAAAATCTGGGGCGTTCAAGTCCGGTGAATGCGGCGACCACTCTGGGTCACACCTGCGGCTGATCAGTCGGTCAGGGAAACGCTGCTGTAGCCATGCCAATGATTCCTTTGAGGTGTGGGGGTGGCACCATCCTGCTGGAACCACAGGAGGTCCCTGACGACCCCTCTTCGTCGACCAAGTTTAGGTGATGAACGCTTTTTTTGTGTCACCCGGTACCTACATTTTTCATACTTTTTCCGAAAAAATGTGTTAACCCTGGCAACAACTTTTTTTTCTTTATTTTTAATGTTAGTTTTCCCTTGTTTATTACATTTCCTAACGACTTGCGCCATCTTCCATTCACCTGGCTCGCTAGCCTGGAGGTCGGGTGTTCGATCCCTGCATTGGCCGAGAAAGTTCATCCAGATTTTCCGGCGTGGTTCCCCCTTGTCAGTGATGCAGGACGGAGAGCTGTCTAGTCATTCGGATGAGACGAAAAACCGAGGTCCCGTGTACACATTGGCGTGCACGTAAAATATCCTTTGACAGTTGGAATTCGATATTAGAGTAGGTCGTAGTGCCGCTGTTCGGGCAAAATTTCCCTCATAGCACACTGTATGGCGTATGCCCGTCTTCATTAGCCCAGTTCGGAGCAAAACAGTAGGACGCTAAACCCCATTTCATTTCATTTCATTTCCATTCACCAGCTTTAGAATTTCAGAAAGCATTTTTCGGGTAGCCTCATCCCATAAACGTGTGTCTCCAAATATCCAAATACATGTACATAAAGTTTGTCCGTAGGAATATGATCTGAAGTTGATCTCCTAAATGTTTTCCATGACTGACTCGTTTTGGTCTATAATATGGAGAACTATGGCATTAATCTTATAATCTATCATTATATAAACAAACAATATGGTAATTAAAACGATTTAGCTAACAGATATATAAAAAGTATAAAGAAAAAAGGTACTGGAGACAGGCGATTATACCCCCGTCAGACCGGGGTGGCGTCCTTACTGCGTTGCTACGGCGATGGAAATTGGTTTTAGAGCGCGTCAAGATCGCCATAAGCGTGGTAGAAACGCCAGCTATCGGTGCTGTGGTCGCCAATGATCGCCTAGTCATGGCGTTTGTTTTGAACATGCTCAAGGTTCTGCGATCTGAACTAGAAAGCTATGAGAATGCGACTTTTTTCAAGTTTATAATTTCTGGGACATTTGTTCGTGTTGTGCTCACGTTTGCCGGCGACCTTGTGCATTTTCTGGTCGCCGTACGGTCGCAGCAGCGCTGTGAGGACGCCACCCCGGTCTGACGGGGGCATTAGGGAGATATAAGACAACATGAAATACAATAAGAAACGATAAAAATGGCTAATTAAAGGAGCTACACCTCTAACTCAATATTTTTCATAATATTCCAAATTAAAAACACGAATTACAATTAAATCTTGATCCATTTTAATAATATTAATGTTATCTTGCCGTGAAAGTATTGGACCCCAATATTCAATTTTATGACACAGTGAACATTTTAAAATCAGTACACGAGTCGTGTACTCTATGGTTTCGGATGCCATTTGTAATTAACAAAGAAAAAGCAACGAAGAAGTAATTAGTTGATTCACAAACAACAAAATAGTTTTTTTTATAAATTTGTAGAATGCACTAAGCAGGCGTAAACATTATCGTTCAATTTGGACTTATAAGATATTTCACAGAACATAATTGATTAGAAATTATAATATATTCATTCATATTACATTAATGTGTGTTTTATACTTATTTTCGTCTATTTTAAGGTTGCAAATAATAGAGCCATATGCCCTTTAAGATCCATAATGATCTATTAAAATAATGACCACCGAATTAAAGATACATTATGGGAGATTAGATAAAGAGCTGGCAGTTCTCACTATAATAGTTAAAAGCTAGATAATGTAAAGGCAAGTTGCTGAAAATTTCATTCAAATTGATCCACTATGAACCGAGAACTAAGCGGCTAGCCTTGATCATCATTACTAAAGTCAGTACGATAAACACCATAGTCTCGATTATCCATTTAATCGTTAAATCGTGAAGGAAAGTTATGCATTAAATCGGCTCATAATCCACTAAAGTTCGCAGGCTAGCGCTGCCATCTAGAGTTGATTATGGTCTGGATAGGTTAATTAATGTCTAATTAATAATTTAGATAACATTTCAGGCCTAAAGAAAGGCCTGCAAAAGACAGATTCAGCTCTTGCATAATGTATGTTTAAGTAACACTGTTACTAATGGGCCGAGTTCACAGACCGTGAGAATAATAATTGTCTGGATTAACTGAAATTAGCCCTTCAACAATATTTAGAGAATATGTTAGAGACTACAGTTCGATAGGCCAATATATCCAGTCGACTTTGAAATTTTTATTCACCCTTCCACAATATTCAGAGAATATTTGTCTGGATGTTAGAGACTATACGCTATAGGTCGATAGGCCACTGCATAGTTTTTACTCGTCCTTCCACAATATTCATTGAATGTTTGTCTGGATGTTAGAGACTATACGCTATAGGTCGATAAGCCACTGCAATATTTATATATATATATCCAGTCAACTTTGACGTTAGTTTTTATTCGGCCATGTACAATATTCAGAGAATATTTGTCTGGAGGTTAGAGACTATAGGTCGATAGGCCATTGTAATATTCATATATATCCAGTTGACTTTGAAGTTAGTTTATATGCATAACATGTTAGTAACAAAAAACAAAATCATGCTAAATATTAATATAAAAATGCATAGACCTTAGTCATGGATACAATCCCAAACCCCCCGGCGATAGCAGGAACTCGCTGACCTTGTTGAAAAAGTCGAACCCAAATATCGTCTCGCCGCATTGTAGTATACATTTGCGTTAGAAATGCAACTCGAGCGGGTCGAACCTCCACTATAAGAAGAATAACAATAATTCCTCATATTTGTGAGCAACATTCGATCGCAGCTTGACCTTGACACGTCACGTGTATATCCCTGAAAATATAAATCATAATCAATATTTACACATTGATCAGCAACATTAAACATACAAGGACAGCTGTCTAGTCCTTCGGATGAGACGAAAAACCGAGGTCCCGTGTATACACGTAAAAGATCCCTTTGCAGTTTGAATTCGATACAAGAGTAGGCGATAGTGCCGCTGCCCGGCCAAAATTTCCCTCATAGCACACTGTATGGCGTATGCCCGTCTTCATTAGCCCAGTATAGGAGCAGAACAGTAGGACGTTAAACCCCATTTCATTTCATTTCACCTCGTAATATTCGATACCTCAGAAAGCTGATTTGAAGAGATGCCTTGTACTCTGAAGATCAGGTTATTGCAACAGTCTTTGAGGAAATTAGATTATCACCCAATAATACATTCTACAGTAGATATCGCTTGTGTGATTATATTTCATAATCTACTTATTAAAAGTAACTTTTTTTTTTATTAAAAATGAACTATTGTTATTCAAATGTCCTTGATGGCAACACTGTGCCAATATAAAGGACTTTGCAATGGTTGAATTGCTGTCAAAAAATGATGTATCAATACGCCATAATGTTATCAGATTCATTAAAAGTGAAATCTTCAGCAAAGAATTATATTTATTTATTTGTGCATGTAAGAAAGGATTGGGTGATAAATAAAATCTCCTACTCGTCTTTTTTGATATCAAAGAATATCCCCACTCGTCGATAAAGAAACAAAAAGATTCGGAAGAGCCTCGGATTTTTTTTTTAATTTATCGACATGTGTTGATATTTTTTTATATCAAAAAAGACGATTAGTAGAATCTCTATATAGTCCTACAGAAGAGCGCATCTTCCATGGCAATTGCGTGTTAGTTTTATTTTAGAATGGATGCCATATTTGAAGATACATTATGGGAGATTAGATAAAGAGCTGGCGGTTCTAATTATATTAGTTAAAAATTAGATAATGTAAAGGGAATTTGCTGAAAATTTCAGTTAAATTGATCCACCCTGAACCGAGATTTTAGCGATTGAATTTTCGGCCTAGCCTCGATCATCATTACTAAAGTCGGTGCGATAAAAAAAACAGCCTCGATTATCCATTTCATGATTTAATCATGAATGGAAGTCGAACAGCAAATCGGAACCTAATCCAATAAACATCGCATAAACTTATGGTCTGGATAAGTTAATTAATGTCTAATTAATAATTTAGATAACATTTCAGGCATATAGAAATCCTGCAATAGGCAGATTTAGCTCTTGCATAATGTATGTTTAACAAAGTTCGGAATATGAATATGTGTTTTGGAGATGAGAATAGAAACTGTAAATATTCTACAAGAAGGCATGGGTTTTCGGATATTAGCATGGCCTGCAAATGTGGAAAGGGTAAACATAGGATGTTTAGATCTATTTCATGGTGCCTTCAAATAGACGAAAATGAATTGCTAATCAGTTATATTCGGTGAAATATGCAGTTCAAATGCGCCCGGTTAGTCAAATTATTTACATTTTCCTTTTGTCGTTTGTGGGTCAGACAATTTTATTTCTCCTACATTGACTTTTGTGCACCTAAGTTATATTTTATAGCCCGGCTTTCATTAGTTAATGAGGGGATCACGTGGTTAAGTGGGTAAGGCGCTGGCTCGCTAGCCTGGAGGTCGGGTGTTCGATCCCTGCATTGGCCGAGAAAGTTCACCTCGATTTTCCGGCGTGGTTTCCCCCTTGTCAGTGATGCAGAACGGAGGGCCTGACAAGGACAGCTGCCTAGTCGTTCGGATGGGACGAAAAACCGAGGTCCCGTGTACACATTGGCGTGCACGTAAAAGATCCCTTGGCAGTTGTAATTCGATATAAGAGTCGGCCGTAGCGCCGCTGCCCGGGCAAAATTTCCCTCATAGCACACTGTATGGCGTATGCCCGTCTTCATTAGCCCAGTATAGGAGTAGAACAGTAGGACGTTAAACCCCATTTCATTTCATTTCATTAGTTAATGAATGTTAACGAATGAAGCGTGCTATAAATGACTTGTAACATTGACACCTGCTTAACATGCTTGTTATTTAACACAAAACCCACCCCACATATCTATATGACTTCTACTAAAACTGGCGTAAATCAGCAAAAGTGTGCAATAAAATTGAACATGTCTAGTTATTGCACGGTTAAGCTCCACCCAATCTACTAGAGGAAAAAAATCTACTTATTCAACGAAAAGAACAAAGGAAGATTTCCCGCCCATGCTGCAATTAGAAATAGCGCTCGGGATCATAGCGATATCGGACAAGGGAACTGGTTTTAAACTGTTCTTTGTGTATTAAATGTTGGCTATCAGGTGCCCCTAGTTGCTCGGTAAGATAATAAATTCAATATTGATTTAAATGGATCCATATTGAATTCTAATTCGTGTTTTTAATATAACATTAAAATAAGAGTTTGATCTATATTTAATTAGACTGTAACTTACACATGCATAGCAGAGGTCGTGTTTATCACATGCTTGTCGGAAACGGTATTTGAAAGGCATGTTGTAAGGGTCGCTACATCCGTCGTGACTGTAAGTCCACGTGCCGCATCTGATCTCCCCTTCTACAACTCCGACCATAAGAAGGCTGAACATGCAAAATATGATGATTAATTCTACTTTCATTTCTGTTAAAAAACAACAACAAATAGTTATTTTGTATGATCAGTCTTGTTTGGAGGCTGGTGGGTGGGGGGGGGGGGCTGCTCTGTAGGTAAAGCCCTGTCTCATTATATACTATGATGAACAAGTTTGGTTTAATATCAAGTATCGTGCCTTGATCTTCCAGAAGGTAATAGATGATGTTTTGTTGCAGTATCACTTTCTGGTGGTGTTATATTCAAACGGACACTGCATGGCTCGCTAGCCTGGAAGTCGGGTGTTCGATCCCTGCATTGGCCAAGAAAGTTCATACAGATTTTCCGGCGTGGTTCCCCCTTTTGTGGGTCAGACAATTTTATTTCTCCTACATTGACTTTTGTGCATCTAAGTTATATTTTATAGCCCGGCTTTCATTAGTTAATGAGGGGATCACGTGGTTAAATGGGTAAGGCGCTGGCTCGCTAGCCTGGAGGTTGGGTGTTCGATCCCTGCATTGGCCGAGAAAGTTCATCTCGATTTTCCGGCGTGGTTTCCCCTTGTCAGTGATGCAGGACGGAGGGCCTGACAAGGACAGATGTCTAGTCATTCGGATGAGACGAAAAACCGAGGTCACGTGCACATGTGTACACGGGACATCAGTGTTTCGTCCCATCTGAACGACTAGACAGCTTTCCTTGTCAGGCCCTCCGTCCTGCATCTCTAACAAGGGCGAATCATGCCGGAAAATCTGGATGAACTTTCTCGGCCAATGCAGGAATTAACATTAGGACCATCCTCTTGCACAAGCAATTGTAATTTTCATGTAGTGCCATACCCTGTTAGTTAAAAGAATAACGAATTTGACCTGTATTTTATGGTAAAGCTATTCAAAGAGATTGTCAGATATTTAGACATGGGCGCTATTGTCCACAAACACGTCACATACCTTCTGTCGAGAATTCAAGTAAAGAAATGAAATGAAATGAAATGGGGTTTAACGTCCTACTGTTCTGCTCCTAACCTGGGCCAATGAAGACGGGCATACGCCATACAGTGTGCTATGAGGGAAATTTTGCCCGGGCAGCGGCACTACGGCCTACTCTTATATCGAATTCCAACTGCCAAGGGATCTTTTACGTGCACGCCAATGTGTACACGGGACCTCGGTTTTTTGTCCCATCCGAACGACTAGACAGCTTTCCTTGTCAGCCCCTCCGTCCTGCATCACTGACAAGGGAGAACCACGCCGGAAAATCTGGATGAACTTTCTCGGCCAATGCAGGGATCGAACACCCGACCTCCAGGCTAGCGAGCTAGCGTCTTATCCACTTAGCCACGTGATCCCCTTCAAGTAAAGAAGAAGAAGACAATTTGTATGTACCAGTAAATGTTATATATGCTCAACTGAATCTACGCGATAATAACCAAAATTAATATTCAACTTTGATTTATAAATAGGATAATATGGCCAAAGTACTCCTTTAATTTACTCATTGACTGTAATACTAATTCTCGCCTCTTTTCTAAGGTCAACCTATTAACTATCTTATCCTTCCGCCTGTATGTTAGGCCCTACACTGCCGAAATGTACAGATTGGAGATAACTAGAACCTATACAGTACAAACCCAAGTCAATTATTAGAAATGGAACAAGTATACCGTGACTCAGCGAATTAAAAGAAATAGAATAAGTACTACCGTGACTCAGTCAATAAAATATATTAAATATTACCTTGAGTTCTGTCGAGAATCCCAGTCATTCATCAAACACGTGATATATAATCAGCTATACCGCAAGTGATGCAAAATTCTAGTTCCAGACCATTTTTATACGTTCCCCAACTTGATTACGTGATGGTTAAATTAATACATTTTATTTTCCGTTTCTGGAATCTAAAATGACGAGCCAATCAGCTGCCCCCTTCTACAATAACGAACCAATCAGCTGTCGCCTTCTAGAACATACCATGCCGCTATTTATATATTTGGGAAGTTTAAATATCGAATTGTTCCTGGTTGGTGTTTTAACATTTCCGTGTAGTACTTAAAGATATTCAAGAGCTAGATCAGCCTATTAAAGGTCTTTACTGCATTTATTAACTTGCCAAAACCATAATCAACAAAACATTAAAGTGCTACTATATGGATCGGAAACACTATCATACAACGAAAACGTGTCAGTATTTAACGAGGTCCATAATTTTTTTGAACAACCCGAAAGATTTAGATTTTAAAAATAGCTGATTTTAATTATTTCAAATTTATGTTTACATGTAAATATTTTCATTGGGTTATATGTATATATATAATTTTCATTTATCTATTCTTTTTACTTCTTTATTTTCAAAATATTGTAATATTATGTAATTTATTGTAACCGGGAGAGGGGTTTATATACGCTTTGCCTGTTCCCCAATCCCCTCAGTTTTCTGAATAAATATCGTTTATATAAAAAAAAATAATCAACCCTCGATATGATTGGATGCTCGAGATGTTCAAAGAATTTAAACACGGTTGACGGTTAATGATTTAATGAATAATCGAGCCTCTGCTTACTAATTGAACAAAGGTAGCAATGTCAATCGAAATTCCGCTTCTCTTCAAATATTCCTAACATCACTCCGAATGAAGTAGATTGACTGACATTTTCAACATATGGGGGGGGGGGGGGCGGTGTCTATGTGGGTAAGGCGCTGGCTCGCGAGCCTGGAGGTCGGGTGTTCGATCTCTGCATTTGCCGAGAAAGTTCATCTGGATTTTCCGACGTGGTTTCCCCTTGTCAGTGGTGCAAAACGGACGGCCTGACAAGGACAGCTGTCTAGTCATTCAGATGGCACGAAAAACCCGAAGTCCCGTATACACATTGCCGTGCACGTAAAAGATCCCTTGACAGTGGGAATTCGATATAAGAGTAGGCCGTAGTGCCGCTGTCCGAGCAAAATTTCCCTTATAACACACTGTATGGCGTGTGCCTGTCTGTATTAGCCCAGTTCGCAGCAGAACAGTAGGAGGTTAAACCCCATTTCATTATAGCGATAACTGGCAGCTCTTTATCTAAATCTGATGTAAGAAGACTGATACTATACTATATAGTAGTATTACTGTATTCATATAATCCTTGATTCCTTCTCATCCCTCTGGCGCTAGGATAAGGTGGAGGGGGGGGGGTTATAACCCTATACGTATTTCTGGCATTCTCGGATGTAATATGCATTGTTTAAAGGATTGTCAACAAGTAAATAAAGACACTAAAATCAACATAATTTATTTATTATTTAACACTAAACTAGAGTATTTGAACGCCACATCTTCCCTATTATAATATTTCTGGGAACACTCCTGATTTGACCAATTAGCGGTCTTGGGAATATCTGAAATAGGACATCCAGAATCCAAGGATGCAGAAGAAGATGCTGATCTTACGGGATGGGCTTTAAATTTATCCTCGCCTACACCAGATAATTCAAAGTTTCTTTAACCCACCTGGATATAGTGCTAGAAGCAACAGATCTAAAGTTTAAAGAAGAAACAAATAATTGCTGAGCTTTTTTTTACGCTCTGTACGTCAAATATAATCTTTGAGAATATAACAAGGACAGATTTTCTCATTCTTGTAATATGGTAATTTAATCAAGTATTATCCAAAGCATTTCAGTCGAAAGAGCAACTAGTCTTACACCGCTGTGCTGTAGACCGTCTCAGACAACAAACGGGCTTCGCTGTACGGGTCACGTGTCCATGCTCCTGATGAAGGTCAATGCTGCTGCTGGAAGTTAGTCGTCCATTATCATTACGTTGTGGTTTGAGTCGCGCAGAGGGATACCCAGAAATATGGGTAATTTTATTCTCCGCTCCCGTTGCCCCAGCAAATCTGTTTACTGTGAGGTTAAAGGTTAAAATCCAACGAAGATAGGTAACTTATACCATGCTTTAAATGAACAAGTGGCTAACGGCAAGCCGGTCACCCCAAAAGAATTCAAAATTTCTATATTATGAAGATAGCGGAATGGGGGACAGGGTACACAGTATGTCGTCATCGCTACAATCTTGGAATGGTGGCGTCAAAATAAAGCCGAAGTCAGTCGATCGATGCGTGATTGCCAAAGGAAAACTATTGCCAAGTTTCAAGTTCATCTTACTTGAATTAGTGAAGCTTTTGGGCCTTTTTCGAAGATGAACAAGAACAAGCTGCGTCAAAAAATATTGAAACTTTTAACAAAGATAAGCTATAACTATAACAGTTTTATATCCTAAAACAACCAGTCTTACATTATAATTCATATCCTTGCGGTATTATACATCCAGGCGACATTGCAATGTAGTTGTTATGTATGTGATCTCCAGGAAACTTCCTTGCCATGTATACAAGACGAAACCCAATTCCTTGAGCACCAACTCTTATGACGTGATGAAAAACTCAAAGCACCAAATCCGTTAACCGCACCGTAGTATACATTTGCGTTTGCAATGCAATTGGAGCGCCATATAGTCCGGCTACTAGTAGAAGAATAACATATATGCCTCATATTGTAGAGAAATTTTCGATCGCACCTTGACCTTGACACCCCACGTGTATATCCCTGAAAATATAAATCATAATATTTAAACATTGATTAATTGAACGACATATCACCAACATTTAATTTATCATACTTTCACTGTCGTAATATTGGATACCCCAGAAAGCTAATTTCAGGAAATGTCTTGCACTCTGAAGGTCAGGTTATTATTTTTCTCGTTCATCTCTTGCAAACTGAGACTGTATCTTGAATGGATGGATATGTGTTTTGAAGATGAGGACAGAAACTAACAAGCGGCTGCCATACAAGAGATAGACAGCGAACACGCTCAAAAAAGGAACATATGTTGGGTTTTTTTTGTAGAATCAGCGGCCATAATCCAGAAATTACGTCCAATATGCATGAATATCTACAGGAACCTAGATCTTCGGTATATAAACATATTTTAAGTTTCGCCAAAATCAGATAAAAATTGTGACCTCTAGAGGGTCCACAACCTTGGTATTTCATACCTTTACACTATTTGTGTACAAGGCGCGGCCATTTTGTCGGGCATGTTTCAATCTGATATTTATGAAATTCAAACTTTACCATCATTATGGTGTAACGGTGATACATTTAATCGGTTTCTAAAATCGATAAAAATTGTGACATCCAGAGGGTCCACAGTTTAAAAACGCGAATTGTCGTACAATCAAGACCATAATCCAGGAAGTTACGGTTTGATATGCACAATAAGGGAAAGGAACCGAGATCTTGGGGAAACAAACATATATTTTAAGTTTCATAAAAATCTGATAAAACTTTTATATTACATACTTTTGCACTATTTGCGTAGACGGGACCGTCATTTTGTGAGGCAGTTTCGGTCCGATTTTCACGAAATTCGAACTCAACCGTTATTAGGGTGTAAAGGTGATACATGTAAACGTTTTTGTTGTTTTTTTAAATCGAATAAACATGGTGGCCACTATAGAGTCCACAAGCTAAAAACTTGATTTTTCGTACAACCAAAAAATCTTTGTGATATAATCATAACTTTAAAGTTTCATCAAAACTGGCCCAAGATTGTGGCCTCAAGAGTGTCCACAACCTTGAAATTTTTGAACTATTTGCGTTCGAGGGACAGCCATTTTGTTCGGCAATTTTGGTCAGACTTTCACGAAATTTGAAGTCATTAGGGTGTAATGGTGATATATCAAACAGTTCTTTTAATCCGATAGAAATTATGAACACCAGAGGGACCACAAACTAAAAACGCGATTTTTTTTGGGTACAATCAAGAGCAGTAACTCAGGATGTTATGTTCCGATATGCGCGAATATCGACAGAAACCAAGATCTGTGGGTAATAAACATGTATTTCTAGTTTAATCAATATCGGATCAAAATTGTGACCTCTAGGGGGTTCACAACCTTTGTGTCCGGCGGTTTTAGTCCGATTTTCACGAAATTCGAAATGAACCAACATTACGGTATAACGGTGATATACTCGAACGGTTGTTTAAATCGGATAATAATTGTGACTTCTAGAGGGACAAGCTAAAAACGTGATTTTTCCTATAATCAGGGGTCACATAATTCAGGAAGATCAATATGCGCGAATATCGAAAGGAACCAAGATCTTTGGGTTATAATCATTAAAATCAGATGAAAATGTAACTTCTAGGAGTGTCCTTGATTTTTTGTACAATCAGGGACAATAATCCATGAAGTTATGGTCCGATACATGCCACTATCGAAAGGAAGTGAGATTGTTGAGAGATAGACCTACATTTCAAGTTCCATCAAAATCGGATACAAATTGTGACCTATAGGTTGTCCACAAACAAAGTTATTGCCATTTCGTGCTGTTACAGGTATTGTGCTGTTTTTGTCGCTCTATTGTAGTCCACTCGACACAAATTAGGTCATTTCGGGACTAACACATGGTTCAATTTTATTTCAATATTTCGCATGCGCGTAGGGGTCTTTAGTAGTGGGAGGAAACCGGAGGACCCGGAGAAAACCCACGAGGTTGGACAGGTGACCCTGCTCATTGTCACGTACAACCGGGGAATCGAAACCACGCCCATTGACTCAATGACAGACTTAATGATAGAGAACGCACGCTTCGGCCATCCAACCCCCCAAAAGTAAAAGACTGTCTACAAACTATTACTTCATAGCAGAAAAAGCACCGATAGTAATGAGATTTCAATCGAATACTAGTACAAGCGGTTGCCAGGAGAGATACGCCCACATTTTGCAAGAGATGGATAGAGAACAAGCTAAAAACAAAAGCGATTTTTCATACAATCAAGGGCCATAATCCAGAAATGAGCCATTTTGGTCAGACATTCACGAAATTTGAACTCATTAGGGTGTAATGGTGATATAATCAGACGTTGTTTTCAATCGCATAGAAATAATGAACTCCAGAGGGACCACAAGCTAAAAACGCGCAATTATCAAAGGGACTGAGATCTGTGAGATATAAAGATATATTTTAAGTTTGATCATAATCGGATAAATATTGTGACCTCTAGAGTGTCCACAACCTTCGTATTACATGCGTTTACACAATTTGCGTACAAAGAACGGACATTTTGTCCGGAAGTTTCGTTTCGATTTTCTCGAAATTCAAATTCAACCTTCATTACGCTGTTATACTTGTACTCATACTCTTCTGTCCCAATATCAGTTTATCATTTGTAGCCAGTAACTGAGCCATTTTTTACGATTTTTTTCCTAGGTAAGAAATTATTGCGTCATAACTTTTCATGTGCATGCCGCTCCGGTGTATAGTTCACTCGAACGTATTTATTGTTGTTACCAATCAGGTGTGTTCAATATAACACGTGAACAGTCCGAATTGAACAGCAGTCATTTGTGCCTGGTTAGTCGTGTTAATCCCATTTTCGTATCGAATATTATGGTTAATATTAAAATAAGAGTCTGATCTATATGTTAATGTAATGTAATTAGACTGTTACTTACACATGAATAGCAGAGATCGTGTTTATCACATGCTGGCTGAAAACGGCGCTTGTAAGGAAAGTTGAAAGGGTCGCTGCATCCGTCGTAACTATACGAATAATACGTAAAAAAATCTTCCTTGCAAATAATCCTGCCTTCTACAAATCCGACCACAAGAAAGGTTAATAGGCAAGATGTGATGATTAGCTCTACTTTCATTTCTGTTTTTAAAAAAAGAGATATTTTTATTAAATATATTATTCGAAGACCGTCATTGTATAGATTCTTCGTTAAAGGCTCGTGGGTGTGGACGGGGGCATGGCTGCTCACTACATATTGCTCATAATATTATGTTCATTACAGACCCCAGTCAATATCGCTTTGTATGTTGCTTATAATATTATTTTTACTAATGAAAAGTTATATAAGTATTTAACCATAGATCAACCCCACTGCAAATTATGTAATAGTCATGGTATTGAAAATATGGAACATTTATTTATATCATGTCCTAGTATTCAAACAGTTGTAGACGGTATAAGGTCTATTTTAATAGATTTTCACCCTGATGGCTTCAGCCAAACAGGGTTAGATCTCTTTCACAAGGTCACGAGATGTTAACAGGTTAGGGCGCGTGATTGTTGCGGAGGATTGTGGGTTAACGTAAGGCTATGTCTTGGGTTAGGTTTAAGAATTATATTACATATTGAGAATATCGACTATCATTCCAAGATGGCAGGAAATGTCTTAAAATGTCAAATATCTCCGAAAGGAAGCGTGTTAGACCATGTAGGGTTAATGTGCCAGTTATCGGCCGCTTAAGTAAAAATCTGTCTTTGAATAGTAATTACTAGTCTTAACCCGCAAATCCGATTTTGGAAGACTTCGTATTTTTATAAGCAAGTACCCTAGATAGAAAAACACGAAAATTAACTGGTTTATTTCCAATGAGGTCCTTTAGTAGCAGATCGGGTCATGTCATCACTAGAGGGCATGTTCTCAACAAAATGGTATAATGAAATGAAAATGATATATGTTATAAAAATAAAAAATATGAATTAAGAATTGCGGCAATAAAATGGCGCTGTCATCAGTATCTGAGGTTACAGTCAGCAGGAATGCTTGTAGTTATAAAATTACCATAGCAAAGAAAAAACAAAGGTCCTAGAATGCTACCCCGAGGGACACCGCATGTTACATAAAACTGTACCTCAGCCATTCAACACACATTTTATCAAATTTTAATGATATCAAGTAAAATAAAAATGTACCTCAAATATTCAATAAATAAATAAAATGATGTTAAAAAAATACACAAATTTTAAAAATACTGTAAATAAATAAGAGAGGAATGTAAAAGTATTGGAAATAGGTTTTTTTTTTATTAAAATAACAAATACAAGTGTTTGATAGATTTTATGTAATAATTCGTGTTGAATGGTTGAGATACATTTTTATTTTACTTCATATGATTTAATTATCTTGTATTTATTTAAAGTATTTATTTCTTCTTAGGAGATTTTAAATATCTTATAAAGGTCAATATAATACGCTGTTCAATTTTATAGATTTTATGTAATTATTGTTCATGTATGTTGAATAAAACACCTTGTGGTATCAGATAGCAAGTTTAGTCCGTTAATTGATGTACATGTACATCATGAATTTTCATTTACGGTAACAAATTCCATTCCTAAATTTGGAATATTGGCTGAGGGCAGCTATGAACCGGTCTGCGCGGGCGTCAGTTTACAATGGCCGCCAGATTTGAATGAATGTTGTTTATGTTTTTCTAGCGCACAATTCTACATGAAAATAGTGTTGGATTATTATAAATTTGTGTCGGTTGTGGCAGAAAATGATTTCTTGTGGTATTCAAAGAAGAATCGCGGCGCAAAACAGACGGTAAGGATTCTAAAATAGCCTTAGACCCGAGATGGGGCAAAGCCTTATTTTCATACTAGTTGTCATTAAGTCTCACCAGTAACGAAGAGAGCAGGCAGGGCAGGTTCTCATATTTTCGTTACTAAAGTAACTACAATATTCACAACTTGAAAACATTTCTCCCGATCGGCAAAAGTTCGAAGAGAGCAGACAGGGCATGCTCTCATATTTTCGTTACTAAAGAAACTACAATATTGGCAGCTTGAACACATTTCCCCCGATCGGCAAAAGTTCTCAGTTTAAACTATTTATATATACATTATGGGAGATTAGATAAAGAGCTGGCAGTTCGCACTATAATAGTTAAAAATTAGATAATGTAGAGGCAATTTGCTGAAAATTTCAGTCAAATTGATTCACTATGAATCGAGAATTAAGCGATTGAAATTTCGGCCTAGCCTCGATCATCGGTACGATAAAAAACATAGTCTCGATTATACATTATGATTAAATCATGAATGAAAGTTGAGCGGCAAATCGAATTAAATCCAATAAATATCGCAGGCTAGCTTTGACATTGAGAGTTGATTATGGTCTGGATAAGTTAATGCCTAATTAATAATTTAGATAGCATTTCAGGCCTACAGAAAGACCTGCAATAGACAGATTTAGCTCTTGCATAATGTATGTTAATTAATGTCTAATTAATAATTTATATAACATGTTAGGCCTAAAGTAAGAACTGCAATAGGCAGATTTAGCTCTTACATAATGCATTGTTTAATTATATAGATGTTGAAACCGTACATTAGCTTTTGTCTTTGCAAATTTTCGATCATGGCTGAAAATTCAAAAGTTGCAACTTTATTTCAGAATTTTTCTGGGGGAATAAGTGGACTGTCTACAACTTTGATATTTCCAATTTAGTTGAATCTTTTTCGGGGGAACCTAAAACTTTTAAACCCTGGATAAAGAGAATTGAAAAATATTTGTTTTTGGCCGAAATTGCTACAGATCAGGTAAAAATGTTATAAAATGGTCACTAAAACCATACGAGATCACGTCGTTTTGACAATTTTTTTCTGACAAATCAGAAATAATTTGTTAAAAAATTATATAGTGTAGATATATATTTGTATATATCAGTAAATGTTATTTATAAATGTCTGGTCTTTCGGATGGGCTGGAAAACCGAAGTCCCGTGTGCACATTGGTGAGCTCGTAAAAGATCCCTTGGCAGTTAGAATTCGATATATACGTAGGCTATAGCGCCGCTGCCCGGGCAATATTTATATTATTAACTCGTATCGTGTACACGACAAACCCCAGTCAATAAATTAAAATACATTAAGTACTACCTTGACTCATACAATAAAATTAAATATATTAAGTACTACCTTGAGTTCTGTCGAGAAACCAAGTCATTCATCAAATATTTGATATATAATCAGCTTTACCGCAAGTGATGCAACATTCTAGTTCCAGGCTAATTTTATACGTTCCAAAACTGATTACGTGACGGTTAAAATAATACATTTTATCTTCCGTTTCTGGAATCTAAAATAACGAGCCAATCAACCGCCTTCTTCTGGATCATACCATGCCGCCATTTATATATTTGGGCAGTTTAAATATCGAACAGTTCCTGGTTGGCGTTTTAACATTTCCGTGTAGTAGTTAAACATACATTATACAAGAACTAAATCAGCCTATAGTGGGTCTTTCTTTAGACTTTAAATGTTATATAAACAATTAATTAGCAAGTAATACCTTGCCAAAACCACAATCAAACCCGATACCGCCGGATGCTCGGGAATTTAAAATGATTTAACCACGACTGGCGGTTAATGAATAACCGAGCCTCTGCTTACTAATGTAACAACGATAGCAATGTCAATCGAGGCTGCGCTATTCTCAAAAAGTCCTGAAGTCGCTCAGAATGAAATGGATTTTTAACTCTTATAGCGAGAACTGTCAGCTCTGCATCTGAATCTTACACAATGCACGTGTCTGCTGTGACAGCATAGAAACCGTTACCTTACACAATCGTCTTTTTAAAAAAAACTTTGTGTTGATAATATTATTATAAACAGTACTGGGAGGGCGGGAAAATAAATCATTTATTTAATTATATTCATATTATCCCTCTCATCCTGCGCCCCAAAGGCTATATTATTATGCTATCCGTGCATTTTCGGATGTATATTGCATTGTTTAAAGGATTGTCAACAACTAAATAAAGACAATATTTAACACAAAACTAGAGTATTTGGACACCACATCATCTCTATTATAAAATGTCCGGAAACACTCCTGATTTGACTAATTACCTGTCTTGAGAATATCTGAATTACAAGGCAGAAGAAGATGCTGACTTTACAAAATGGGCTGTCAGTTTATCCTCGTCTACACCCGATAATTTCGAGTTTCTTTAACCCACTTAACTATAGTGCCAGGAGCAACTGCTGTAAAAGTCAAGAAATAAACAAATAATTGCTGAGAAAATAACAAGGAGAGATTTCTTTTCTTGACATATGGCAATGTAATGAAATAAGGGGGTTTTGCCTGGCGCGATGCTTTATTTACCTTGTAGAGAGTACCAACACACTTACGGTTTTTGAGGGAAATGAAAAGAACGAAATGAAATGGAGTGTAACGCTCTGCTGCGATTGGGCTAATGAAGACGTACATAAGCCATACAGTGCGCCATGAGGGTAATTGTGCCCAGAGTCCAAACTGCTAAGGGTTATTATACGTCCACACAACTGTGTACAAGGGCTGTCCGTCCTGCATTACTGACAAGGGGAAAACCACGCTGGAAAATCCAAGTGACCTTTCTCGACCAACACTGGGATCAACTTCTTCCATGTGAGATTGTATTGTTTATAATTTTTCTGGTTTCCAGGATACTGGCGATTTTTTCGCTTGATAATCCCTTACTAGAGAGGGATTGTCGGATTTAAGGCAGACGGTTAGATATATTCTCTACCTCACCAGAGGGTGTAAATTGTTTCTTGCTGGTATTCTCAAAAGATCCTTCCGTGCGGGAAGGCGATGACATATAGAAATCGAGGTGAAGAAATCATTCCGCTTAATATTCAAAGATATAAAAAAGATTTCTTGTTTAAAATATTCATAGGCTAGGAAATAATTCAAATTTTTAAATTAATAACTGGTCTGAACTTATCATTTTTCTGTCTTAACTAGAAATGATCGTTATTCGGGAATCAAATATGGAGCTAGCCATGACTAGAATGATGCATGCCAAGTATCCCCCCCTCCCCAATAGTATAAAACGCAGCAAATCGACGCCTAGACGAAAAACAGTCCACATTGTTATTCAAGCAGCGAATAACCAGCCGTTTGTTATTGGTTTTTCATCTCGTTATTCGGGATTGACATATCTTTAATGAAGATATTTCAGTAGTTAATTCAAAACGATCACGAGACAACAATAGAATAATGGATTGCAAAGTATCCCCTAGCAGTAGAAAACTTATTAAATGACGTATAGTCGATAAATAAACCAGATTGTCATTCAAGCAGTGAATAACTATGTGACCTGCCTCGTTATTGGCGAATATCGAGGGACATACTGCTTCGTTATTTGTTATTCAACTTCATATTCGGGAATCAATTATGAAGTTAGCCACCACGAGGATGATGGATGTCAATTATCCCCGTTATAATCTACTTGTATGTGTACTGTATTTTCTTTCCAATGGATCATTACCTTCACCTTCTGCACCCTGTAAAATATACTATTCAAAAAAAGTAGGGGATATTTGATTTTTAAGTGTTATTAAAGTCACCTAATGAAACTGACGAAGAAACAAATGACAAAATGAAATGAAGTTCACATTCATCGATTTATTCCAAATGATCGTTAGACTAAGTAAGGCACAGACTGAACATTATAAGGGTAAAATGATACCCGGGGTCAAACAGCAAAGTTACCACAGCATCACAACCAAGTCAGTAACGGGTAAATCCTCCTCTGTTTGCCAAACCAGCATTGATCCGACGTGGCATACTCCTAATGAGACGTCTAAGGTCATTTTGGTCCAGATTGTCCCATTCCTGTTGCAACGCAGCAGCAAGTTCTTGGACATTGGCAGGACGTTGTTGACGTTGACGTAACCTCTGTCCAAGCATGTCCCAGACATGCTCGATGGGGGAGAGGTCGGGACTTAGTGCTGGCCAAGGTAATGTGGTGATGTTCTGTTGTTGGAGGTAACCTGTAACGATCCTGGCCCTGTGACATCTTGCGTTGTCATCCTGGAAGATGAAACGGCGGCCATGACGTCGTGCAAACGGCACAACATGGACTGCCAAGATGTTGTCCCGGTAGTACTGGCCTGTAACACGCCCTGCAACAACATGTAAAGCCGTTCTTCCAGCAACAGTGATTCCTCCCCACACCATAACAGAACCACCCCCAAATCGATCATGTCTGATGACGTTAACGTCTTGGAAGCGCTCGTTTCGACGACGCCACACCCTCCTACGTCTGTCCAAAAAATCAACAGTGAACCTTGACTCATCTGAAAACATCACATTGCTCCAGCGTCGATTATCCCAGTGTTGACGATCCCTACACCAACGACGTCTTGCCTGAATGTGATGATCTCTAAAACAAGGGATCACGCGAGGACGTCGGGCGCGAAGGTGACCCCTATGCAGTCGATTCCGAATCGTCTGGCCACTCACTCTCACACCAGTGTCTGTTTGAAGACGAGCGCTGATCTGATTTGCTTTGATGACACGATTTCTCAAGGCCAAGGTACGGATAAATCGATCCTGGGCTTGAGTTGTCGCCCTTGGTCGACCTGAGCGTGGTCTGTCCTGTACAGATTGTGTATCACGGTATCTGGACCATAGCCTGCTTATGACAGACTGAGAAACATTCATCGTCCGCGCCACAACCGCCTGTGTTGTGCCGATCTGTAGCATGCCAAGGGCACGTAACCTTTCATTTTGGGTAAGCCGACGCATATCAAAATTTGTTTTCTGGTCACTAAAACAATTAAACTGATGTTTCCACCCTGGAATTCAATGCCACAATGACTGTAACATTCAAAGTCAGAGTCGTGCAAATCTTGGGTTGGACCCCCATGATGATCCCAAGCATCACCTGCATTCCATGCGGTAGCAGTTGGTGCGTTTGGGCGTCACATGTAACTGGAAATGTTTCTTCTGTTAGGTTCTATAGTGACTTTTTTCGTAGTCATTTGCATATTTTAGTATTATGCCCCCAAAATCAAATATCCCCTACTTTTTTTGAATAGTATATGTAAATCAAACACATCCAGTCGTCTATCTTCTCAATGATCATTGTTTATGAAGCAATTTTACATAAGCAGCAATGCTTGTTATTGTATCCATCTATAATATGTTAAATATATCTGTCATTTCCCATTTGTTGATATTCAATGTTTACAATTCTGTTATAGATTTGAAAAGATAAAAATTGCATGCGAGTGGCATTGAACTTGGTGAGCAGCCTGAAGTTTCATTTTTAAACAAGGTTAATTATTTGCATTTAACCTGTTTAGTAACTGTTCATGCATACCTGGTTTTTACTGACAATAGTCATGTAATGATTTTGAAAACATAACTTGATGCGAGTACTATTTAATTCGGTGACCTGTTTCAAGTCTTAAAACAAGTTAATTATATACATAGCAATTTAACACAGAATTAAACTGTATCTTTGTTTTTTTAATAATAAACCTGAATTATAGAAGTTATGGATTTAGATCATTCCGATGATTACTCATATAATGAGTCAGATGTTATGTTGAAAGCGCATCAAATGATGTAAGTGCAGTATGCCATAGGGAAACAGGAAATTAACCCAACCTTTGATGATGCATCAAATTCGCTAGCTGGATGTAATTTAGGGGATCCACAACCAGAAAATTGTGCCAATACAGAATTTTCTGATAATGAATCTTCAGTAAAACTTTTTCCGAGATCATTCTGTTTTTTTCATATCACCAGCCGAATGGTCTATTCTTGAAATAAGAACCAGTGAGCGAGGCGACAAAAGATTGGGTGGGGGGGGGAATGGACTGAATATTTTGCCTCAAAGATTAATGAAGCAAACGAAACCTGTCCACTAACATTTACATTAAACAGAATAAAAAAAGAAAACTCAAGAAAAAAGACATCTAAGTTTTTCATAGGAAAAGCTCACTGCAGGTTTCCTAAATGTGTTCAATATACAATTACAATCACGAAAACTCCTAAAGCAGACAAACATACAAAAGTATAAGTGAAGGTTGCTAATAATATAGCTTCAATTTCCCACCCAAAGGATTCTCTTGAAGGTCGCCCTTCCGGAGCATCTGCTGCATACTACACTCGACTCGGTAGTGTTTCTTCTGAGACTATTGCGGCCGATAACAAATCCCAATTCGGAACGAAAGGTGTAATGCGAAAAATTGCATCTGAAGTGAACATATCCGAGCGACTACACAGAGATGAAGTTCTGGAGATTGCTATTCAGAAGGA